TTCCTCCTTCCTCCTCCTCCCTCCCTCCCTATCTCCTCCCTCCTTCTCTCCTTCCTACTCAACCTCCTCTTCCTCCTCCCTCCTTCCTCTTCTCTCTTTCCCCCTCCTCCTCTTCATCCTCCTCCCTCTCTCTCCCTATCTCCCTCCTCGCTCTCTCTCTCCTCCCTCCTTCCTCTTCATCCTCCTCCTTTCTCTCTCCTTCCTCCTTCCTCCTTTCTCCTTCCTCCTCCTCCCCCAAAACAGTACATCAGCGACACGCGTTTCTACACCGTACGCTACACCACCTTCGCCTCGGCCACGTCCTCCAGCCCCAGGTTCCGTTACCGCAACGCCTCCGACGTCACCTGCCTCATCGACAACCTCAAACCCAACACGGTGTACGAGTTCGCCGTCAAGACCATTAAGGTGAGTTGAATGTGGGAAAGGAAATGGAAAAAAAACGGAAGAAAAGAAGGAAGAGAGAGGGAGATAGGGAGAGACGGAGAGAGGGATGAAGGGATGGAAAGAGGGAGATAGGGAAGGAGGGAGGGAGAGGGAGAGACGGGAGATAGGGAGATAGGAAGAGAGAGAGATAGGGAGAGACGGAGAGAGGGATGAAGGGATGGAAAGAGGGAGATAGGGAAGGAGGGAGGGAGAGGGAGAGACGGAGATAGGGAGATAGGAAGAGAGAGAGATAGGGAGAGACGGAGAGAGGGATGAAGGGATGGAAAGAGGGAGATAGGGAAGGAGAGGGATAGAGGGGGGAAGGAAGAATGGAGAGAGGGAGAGAAGGAAGAAAGGAGAAAGGGAGAGGGAGGGAGGGAAGGATGGAGAGAGGGATGATGGCAGGAAAAGGGAGAGGAGAAACGGAAAGGAAGGAGGGAGGGAGAGAGGGAATGGGAAAGAGGGGGGAAGAGAGAAGAAGAGGGAGGAAAGGAAGGAAGGAGAGGAAGATAGGGAGGGTGAGGGGGAGAGAGGAAGAGAGAAATAAAAAAGGAAGGAGGGAAGGAGAGAGGGGGGGAAGGATGGAGAGAAGGATGATGGAAGGGAAAGGGAGAGAGGGAATGGGAAAGAGGGAGATAGGGAAGGAGAGGGAAAGAGGGGGGAAGGAAGGATGGAGAAAGAGAGAGAGGGAGAGAGAGAGGAAGAGAGGGAGAGAGGAAGACGTCACCTGCCTCATCGACAACCTCAAGGCCAACACGGTTTACGAGTTCGCCGTCAAGACCATTAAGTTGAGATGGGGAGATGAAATAGAAGAAAATAAAGGAGAGGGATGAAGAGAGGGAGAGGGAGAGAAGGATTGAAGGGGAATGGGAGAGTGAGGGAAGGAGGGAGGGAGGGAGAGGGGAAATGGGATAAAGGAGAGGGAATGGGAGAGAGGGAGGAGAAATGGGGTGATTGGGAGGGAAGATGGAGAGAGGGAAGGGGGAAAGAAAGATGGAGGGAAGGAGAGGGAGAGAGGGAAGGAGATAGGAAAGGGGGAAGGAGAGAGGGAGGGAGGAGAAATGGAAGAAAAGAAGGAGAGGGAGAGAGGGAAGGAGATAGGAAAGGGGGAAGGAGAGGGAGGGAGGAGAAATGGAAGAAGAGAAGGGAGAAGGAGAGGGAATGGGAAAGAGGGGGAGAGGAGGAATGGAAGAAAAGAAGGGAGAAGGAGAGGGAATGGGAAAGAGGGGGAGAGGAGATAGGAGAGGGAGGGAGGAGGAATGGAAGAAAAGAAGGAGAGGAGAAGGAGAGGGAATGGGAAAGAGGGAGGGAGGAGGAATGGAAGAAAAGAAGGAGAGGGAGAGAGGGAAGGAGATAGGAAAGGGGGAAATAGAGAGGGAGGGAGGAGGAATGGAAGAAAAGAAGGAAGGGAGAAGGAGAGGGAGAAAGGGAAGGAGATAGGAAAGGGGGGAAGGAGAGGGAGGGAGGAGAAATGGAAGAAAAGAATGAAGGGAGAAGGAGAGGGAATGGGAGAGAGGGGGAGAGGAGAAATGGAAAGGAAGGAAGGAGGGAGAGAGACAACCTCAAGCCCAACAGTTTACGAGTTCGCCGTCAAGACCATTAAGGTGAGAGGGGAAAGGAGGGAAAAATGGGGAGGGAGGGGGAGGGATGAAGGGAATGAGAGAGAGGGAGGAGGAGAAATGGAAGAAAAGAAGGGAGGGAGGGATAGAGGGAAAGAGGGAGAGGGATGGAGAGAGGGTTAGGGAGAGAGGGAAGGAGAGATAGAGGGAGGGAGGGAGAGAAATGGAAGAAAAGAGGGAGGGAGAGGGAGAGATGAGGGAGAGATGAGAGAGAGAGAGAGAGATGAGAGAGAGAGAGAGGGAGAGATGGGAGAGAGAGAGGGAGAGATGAGAGATAGAGGGAGGGAGGGAGAGATGAGAGAGAGGGAGAGATGAGAGAGAGAGAGAGGGAGAGATGAGAGAGAGAGAGGGAGAGATGAGAGAGAGAGAGATGAGAGAGAGGGAGAGAGTGGAGGAGAAAAACAAAGAGAAAAGGGGAGAGGGAGAGAGATAGATGAGATAGGCAAGTGCAACCTTGAAGAAATATGAGGCCAAGATAACAATTTATCTATTATATTACTGTTATTTTATCTATTTATTCTCTCGATTTTCACCACCACCACAACCCCTAAACCTCCCTCCCTCCCTCCATCTCCTCCTTCAATTTATTCCCTCAATTTTTTCACCCCCATCTCCCCCCTCTCTAACCCCCCCCCCAAACCTCCCTACCCCTCCCCAACCTACCAACCCCCCAACCCCTCCCCAACCCTCCCCCTCCCCCCCCCCCCAAATCTCCCTCAACCACCCTAACCTCCCTCCATCTCTCGGACACTAACTTAAACTAACGTAAACTAACTTAAACTAACTAACTCAAACCTCCGTCTCTCTCACTCAGGGCCGCCGAGAATCCCCGTGGAGCCTCGTGACCTCCAACACGACCCTACAGGCCCGCCCCTCCTCCCCCCCGCGGGATATCACCGTCGTCCCCATCCCCGGCGAGCCCCACACGATAGTCTTCAATTGGCAGCCCCCGAAGCAGGCCAACGGCAAGATCACAGGTCAGTCAGGAGGCGCTGAATTTTTCTTTATTATTATTATTATTATTATTATTGTTATTATTATTATTGTTATTATTATTATTTTATTATTATTATTATTGTTATTATTATTATTATTATTGTTATTATTATTATTATTATTGTTATTATTATTATTATTATTGTTATCATCTTTATTATTATTATTATTATTTATTTATTTGTTTATCATTTATTTTTTATTTGATTATTTTTTTGTATTTTTATTGTTATTATTACTAATATATTTATCACCATTAGGTTATTAGTATATTATTACTGTTATTATTATTAATATTAATATTTCCATTGTTATTATTGTAATTTTATTATTATTGTTATTATTATTATTATTATTATTATTATTATTATTATATTTTTATTACTATCGTTATTATTACTATTATATTTTCTTCTTATATTATTATTATTATTTCTCTCATTATCTCTTTCTCTCTTTCTCTTTCTCATCTCTTTTTCTCATTATCTTTTCTCTCATCATCTCTTTCTCTCTTTCATTATCTCTTTCTTTCTCTTTCTCTTTCTCTCATTATCTTTTTATCTTTCTCTTTTTATCTTTCTCTCACATTATGTCTTTCTCTCTTTCTCATTATCTCATTTTCTCATTATCTCTTTCTTTCTCTCTTATTCTGTGTGACTATTAACTATTTTCTGATTGTTTTTGTTTTATCATGTGTTTTGCTGTACATTTGTTTTTATTGTTATGTCTCTGTGTTTGTTTATCACTGTGATTGTCTCTTGTTTATGTTATTTGTTTCTCATTTGTGTCTTTTTCTTTCTCATATATTTCTCTTTCTTTCTTTCTCTTTCTCTCTCTTTCTCTCTTTATCTTTCTCTTTCTTTCTTTCTTTCTTTATCTTTTTCTCTCTCTTTCTTTCTTTCTTTATCTCCCTCTCTCTCTCTCTCTCTCTCTTCCTCTCTCTCCCTTTTCCTCTATCTCTCTCTGCCTCTCTTTCTCTTTCTCTTTCTCTGCTCAGAAGTGAGTCTGTTTAGGTGAGTGACTTTTTATTATTATAGTCGGTAGTGTTATTATTAGTATTTAATTTTCACTATTATCTTCACTATCAGTGTTGTTATAATTAGTATTGTTAATAGTAGTATTATTGTCATTATTATTGAAATTGTCATTGCAGTCATCATCATTATCATTATTATCATCATCATCATCATCATAATTATTATCATCATTATCATCACTATTATTATTATCATCATTATCATCATCATTATTATTATTATCATTATCATCATTATTATTATCAGAATTAACAGTATTATCAGAATTAACAATATTATCACAATTATCAATTTTATTAGCATCATCATCATTGCCTCCTCTTCCTCCTCCTCCTTCCCCTTTTCTCTTCTCCTCCTTCTCCTCCCCCAATCGCAACCTAATCAAACTTTACGTCCCTTCCAGGCTACCTCATCTTCCTCCTCCTCCTCCTCCTCCACCTCCTCCTCCTCCCCCCCCCTCTCTCTCCTTCCTCCCTTCTGTTCTCCTTCTTCCTCTTCCTCCCTTCTCTTCTCCTTCCTCCCTTCTCTTCTCCTTCCCCTCTTCTGTTCTCCTTCCTCCCTTCTCTTCTCTTCTCCCCCCCTCTTCTCTTCTCCACTTACGTAAATAATCAAACTTTACGTACCCCTTCCAGGCTACCTCATCTTCCTCCTCCTCCTCCTCCTCTCCTCCCCCCCTCTCTTCTCCTTCCTCCCTTCTCTTCTCTTCCCCTCTCCTCTCCCTCTTCTCTTCCTCCCTCTCTCTCCTTCCTTCCCCTCTCCTCTTCTCCTCTCCTCTCCCCTCTTACATAAATAATCAAACTTTACGTCCCTTCCAGGCTACCTCATCTTCCTCCTCCTCATCCTCCTTTCTCCCTTCTCTTCTCCTTCCTCCTCCTCTCTTCTCTTCTCCACCTACGTAAATAATCAAACTTTACGTCCCTTCCAGGCTACCTCATCTTCCTCCTCCCCCCCCCCCTATCTCTCCTTCCTCCCTCTCTCTCCTTCCTCCCTTCTCTTCTCCTTCCCTTCTTCTCCTCTCCTCTTACATAAATAATCAAACTTTACGTCCCCCTTCCAGGCTACCTCATCTTCCTCCTCCTCCTCCTCCTCCTCCTCTCCCTCCTCATTCCTCTTCCTTCCCCCCTCTTCCTCCCTTCTCTTCTCCTTCTCCTCTCCCTCTTCTCCTCTCCACTTACGTACCTAATCAAACTTTACGTCCCTTCCAGGCTACCTCATCTTCTACACGACCGACGCCAACGGAGACTGGGTCATGGAAGAGGTCAAGGGCGACCGCATGACCTTCCGCGTGCACGGCCTGACACCGGCCACCCTCTACTATTACAAGATGCAGGCGCGCAACGTCAAGGGCTTCGGGCCATTGTCCGGGGTCGGCAACTTCACGACGATGGTGGCGGGTGAGGTTTTATTTATTTATTTATTTATTTTTATTTATTTATTTTTTTTTTTTTTGGGGGGGTAGGGAGGGGGAGGGGAGGGGAGCTTGTTTTTTTTTGGGGGGGGTGTAGGAGGGAGGGGGGAGAGAGAGGGTGGGGGCATGGGAGGGAGGAAGGAGGGAACTTCACGACGATGGTGGCGGGTGATTTTTTTTTTTTTGGGGGGGGGGGAAGGGGGGTAGGGGAGGGAGGGGAGGGGAGGGGAGCTTTTTTTTTTGGGGGGGGGGTGTAGGAGGGAGGGGGGGGAGAGAGGGTGGGGGCATGGGAGGGAGGAAGGAGGGAACTTCACGACGATGGTGGCGGGTGAGTTTTTTTTTTTTTTTTTTTTTTGGGGGGGGGAGGGAGGGGAGGGGAGCTGTTTTTTTTTGGGGGGGGGGGTGTAGGAGGGAGGGGGGGAGAGAGGGGGGGGGCATGGGAGGTAGGAAGGAGGGGGAGGGAACTTCGCGACGATGGTGGCGGGTGAGTTTGAGGGGGGGAGGGGGGAACTTGGTTAGGGGGGAGGGGGAGGAGCTTGGTTTGGGGGGGAGAGGGGGGTTGGAGATGGTTTGGGGGGGAGAGAGAGAGAGGTAGGGAGCTGGGGGGGGTCGGGATTTTCGCGACGATGGTGACGGGTGAGTGGAGTGGAGTGGGGGGGGGTAGGGGGGGGCTTATTTGTTTTGGGGGGGAGAGGGGAGCTAGGGTTGGGGGGGGAGGATGGTAGGTAGGGGAGAGAAAGGGGGGGGGGAGCTGGTTTGTGTGGGGGAGAGAAGGGGAGAGTGGCGGGTGAGTGGGCGATTTTTTTTTGGGGGGGGGGACAGAAGGGGTTGGGGGGGGGAGCTAGTTTGGGAGGTGGGGGAATTTCATGACAATGATGGGGGGGTGAGTCTAGTGGGGAGGGGGGTCTTATATATGTGTAGATACATAGTATGTTATTTTTTAGATGTTATTTATATTTATATTTGGGGGGGAGGAGATAGGGTGGGGGAGGAGGGGGGGAAAGGGGAGGGGGGAGGGACACACACAAATAAAGAGATTGAGAAAGTTAGGAGAGAGAGAGAGAGAGAGAGAGAGAGAGAGAGAGAGAGAGAGAGAGAGAGAGAGAGAGAGAGGGAAGGATAGAGAGAGAGAAAGAAAGAGAGAAAGAGGGAGGGACAGAGAGAGATAGAGAGAGAGAGAGAGAAAAAAAAAAGGGATAGAGATAGATGGAGAGAGAGAGAGGGAGGGAGAGAGAAAAAGAGAGATAGATAGCAAAATAGAAAGAGAAAAGGAGAGAGAGACAGGGAGAGAGAGTGAGCGAGCGAGCATATCCCAACCCCATAACTGATTCCCATTCCCATTCCAGGCTTGGACCGAGCGACAGCCGTGCCCCCGAGCCCCGGCTGGTTCCTGGACCAGAGCAGCCTCATTGTCCTGGCCGTGGCAGGGGTGGGGGGGGCGCTGACCGTCCTAGGGGCCCTGGTGGGGTTGGCCCTCTACTGCCGCCGGAACAAACCTATGCCCAGGCACGGCAATCTGTGAGTTTGTTTTTATTATTGTTATGTTATTATTGTTACCAATATTGTGTTGTTACGGTTATTATGTTATTTGCCGTTGCTCACTATCACCCTCCTCCATTTTGCAATTTGCCATTGCTCACTATCATCCTTTTTGCAATTTGCCGTTGCTCACCATCATCCTTTTTGCAATTTGCCGTTGCTCACTATCACCCTACTCCATTTTGCAATTTGCCATTGCTCACTATCACCCTCCTCCATTTTGCAATTTGCCGTTGCTCACTATCACCCTCCTCCATTTTGCAATTTGTCGTTGCTCACTATCACCCACCTCCATTTTGCAATTTGCCGTTGCTCACTATCACCCTCCTCCATTTTGCAATTCGCCGTTGCTCACTATCACTTTCCTCCATTTTGCAATTTGCCATTGCTCACTATCACCCTCCTCCATTTTGCAATTCGCTGTTGCTCACTATCACCCTCCTCCATTTTGCAATTTGCCATTGCTCACTATCACCCT